TAGATAGATAGATAGATAGATAGATAGATAGATAGATAGATAGATAGATAGATAGATAGATAGATAGATAGATAGAGATAGATAGATTGATTACCGTCCTGGTACCTTGATGGGCTTTGTTGGATCTCCTTTTTTTACTACCTTGGAGAGGCTATAACCCAAATTAATCACAGTAGCTCTTATCTATGGCTACAGAGGGCCATGTTAAAAGTCAAAGTCAGAGTATGTCTTGTTCCATAAACCTTTGCCTGAAGCACTTATCCTTGAGGCTTAGCACCAGTAATACTCCAGAAATATCACTTTATCAGAATTAAGGCTGTAATAACTAAATTTCAAAGCCTGGTTTTCTTTCTCTCTTTGGTTCTCCAAATGGAATATGATCAAGCAAAACAAGCTGTGAAGGACAGCAAGCGGATCTAGGAAAGGCCCCAGACTTCCTGCCATCAGCAAATATGAGATTTGCTGCCAGCTATCTTGCAGAGCTACAAACACCCAGCTGTAGGAAAGCTTTCTCCTCTATCCAATGTCGTGTTCTTCCTTTTAGTTTGGATGGTAAATACTGTATTAAAAGTAGCATTAGCTGAACGGCTTTGCCCTTGTGAGAATGGAAACCAGGAAACATGTACTTCTCCCTTCCTGAGTCAGATTTCTTCTCCTCCTAATGAGCAGATATCCTGATCACTCAGTCTCTGCATATGGCACATGGTTTCAGCCCACATTGTTAGGCTTTGTGCAGCATCTTATAAGATCCTGCAGACTTCGACAGCTGAAGTTCCTGCTACATATGTGTATCTTACTCATAGCCCAGACTTAGACTGCTTCACTTTAATTTCCCTCAGGAATTCTAGTTGGGTGGTTTTATAGGTGTGCTTTAATGTTCTATATTTTTATTCACCACTTTCTTATACTATGCGTTTCATAGATGATTGCAGTTTACTTATGAACATATTTCTTGAAGCCACAATAAAAAATTGACTAAGATCGTAATTCAAAGGCAGCACTACATCACAAAAGCCCATCAGAAGTTCATTTACACCATTCAGTATTTCCATTTTAAAGCATGATTTTAAGCCTTTCAAATTAATGACAAATAATCTTTTTATTATAGGGTTTTCTTAGAAATCAACAGATACAGTTTTAAGCCACCCAGTATTGCTGTTACAATAATCTTTTAAAAAATAAATACACTAAAAGGCTCAGTCATTACTTCCTCCCAAATGTGGTTTGTGTCATACTACACTAGACGTTGGATATCAATTCCCATATTAACATGCTCTGACTGTATTGCCACATAATGCCAAATCTAAAGCTGTGAGGTTATGCCCACCCAAAAGTCTTTCACCTAGAGTGCCAGCAACATCTTTTCAAAATTGCAAATCTTCCTTTTAACCTATGGGACCCCAGCAAATGGCTGATATCTAGCAACTGAGGGATTAAGAACATGATTTAATCTTTGCACACTTCTAACTTCAACGTGGCTTTATGAGGTACAATTCACAACTTACTTCCGATCATCTGAACTCTACTGAAATTGCACTGTGTTAAGTTAGAATAATGTTCACAGACTCTCACTGAAGAGTAGACAACACACTAAATCATTGTGCATGGCACTGTTTCCATAGTAGGATTATGCAGGATGTTCTAGTAAAGGTAAGTTTCCCCCACACATGCGTGCTAGTCATTTATGGCTCTAGGGGGTGGTGCTCATCTCCGTTTCTAAGCCAAAGAGCTAGTTTTGTACGAAGATGTCTCCATGGTCATGTGGCCAGCATGACTAAACCTTCCCACCAAGTTTGTCCTTATTTTTCTACTTGCATTTTTTACGCGCTTTCAAACTGCTAGATTGGCAGAAGCTGGGCCAAGTAATGGGAGCTGTTACGCGGTGCTAGGGATTCGAACCGCTGAACTGCCGACCTTTCTGATTGACAAGCTCAGTGTCTTAGCCACTGAGCCACCTTTGGGATATTCTAGGAGATGCTTTTACTTCAACATGGTTTCCTCACTTCTAAAAACAAAGTAGACTAGACACATCACATAGAAAAACAGCTAATCAACAAACATTCCTCTTCAGCAGTGTTTCCCAACCCCTGCAACTTTAAGAAGTGTGGACTTCATTGCCCAGAATTGATGATAGGGAAAATTTTGGAAGTTGACACAACTACACAACTTAAAGCTGCTGATGTCAACATACACTGCTGTGGATTGGGGGGTGGATCAAATTGTTCAAGTCCCAAAGTCACAAGTAATCCAACAACCAGGTCTTGATGGTTTTGTGAGTTCCAGAAGCATATTATAGGGACCCCAATCCCCAGTCCATGGACACCACCTGACTGCAGCATGCCATAAACTGGGCCGCACAAGCAAGTGATGCCCCATTTGCAGGACGCAGGCAGCATGTAAAATCACACACACACACACCGGTCTTTGGAAAAACCTCTCTTTACAGAACTGGTCCCTGATGCCCAAAAAGTATGGAGACACTGCTGCAGTCGTGGGATTCAAAAAATTTAGTACCGATTGTGTGGGCATGGCTTGGTGGGCGTGGCAGGGGNTATATATATATATATATTGTATAAATATATAACATGCTATAAATTTTATTTGCCTTTCTAGGTCTCTATCCAGCAGATCTGTGGTCACCCCAGCCTATCTGCCTGACAAATAGCATGAATTACAGTCTTGAGAACAATGTATCGTGCCTGATCCAGGAAAACCCTTCATTACATAATGGGCAGGTTTATTTATTTTTTTATTATTGCTTATATATTTTTACTATGATCTTCATAGTCTGAGATTGTGTGTTGGAGGTGGGAGCTGGTAGTTGTCCTCTCATATCTGGAAGAAATGGAGGGATCCCGATTAGGCTGTTTTATGAGAAATATGGGGGGGGGGGTTTGAGACGTTTAAGCCAAGGTATTGGTTTTAATTCAATCTTTCTAAAGTTTTTCTTACACTTTTTTTTTAAATCTTGCAATAGCTTTGTTGATTGGAATTCACCCTGTGATGGCCAGCTTAACATGTACTGTCCAGTAGAAGTGAATGAGTATGGTAAGTCTTCTACAGAACCATGAGTATTTTACATGGAAATAAGTACACTATTTACCTAATAAGGGCTAAGACACTGACCTTATCAATCAGAAAGGTTGGCAGTTCGGCGGTTCGAACACCTAGCGCCATGTAAGCTCCCGTTACTTGTCCCAGCTTCTGCCAACTTAGCAGTTCAAAAGCACATAAAAAAATGAAGGTAGAAAAATAGGGACCACCTTTGGTGGGAAGGTAACAGCATTCCGTGCGCCTTTGGTGTTTAGTCAAGACGGCCACATAACCATGGAGACGTCTTCGGACAGCTCTGGCTCTTTGGCTTAGAAATGGAGATGAGCACTGCCCCCTAGAGTCAGGAAGGACTAGCACTTGTGTGAGAGGAACTTTTACATTTACCTTAGGTATACTTAAATAGGCATTCAGAATTCCATTGAACAGCTTTGGTTGTTATCCTAGCTTGTTAATGTGCTTTTAAACTCCTATCCATATTGCACTGTCCCCATACTCTCTCCCTCTCCCTCTCCCTCNGACATTCCTGATTGCTGGGTAATCAAAGGAGCTCTCTCTTTTAAATCTGATCAGATAGGCAGATGCCACTGAGAGATGTTTCCAAAGATAGCCATAGCCAGATCTGAAGCCATGATAGGCTTTAAGTGTGACAACTCTTTGAATTGCTAGAGTTCTGCAGACCAGGTCTTCACCATTTTTTTCCTACCTGGTTTCATTCAATTTATTTAAAACAATTTTGTTTTCCTTTTTTTTTTTAAAAAAAAAAAAGATTTTTAGTGGAATTCAGATGGTTTTTGTTGCTTTTAAACTTGTTTGTGACGATTCTGTATTTTATTATACGATAACATTTAAAAGCAACTCTCTGCCCAGCAGTCTACACTTTCCTTGGTTTCTTGCATCCTCTTCCAACTGCAGCAGTTAATCTCAAAAACAGCATCAGAATAATATTCAGAAATGATTTTCAAACATCAAGATTTGAAAAACAAAAGACCCCTACAAGCGAGAAGGAATGTTTTGAGACACCTAGATTTGCAGATTTTGGCAGAGTCTTAGTATTGATCTTGCTACATCCTCCTGATGAAAAAGGAGAAGCAGGGAACTCTTTCTGAATTTTGAAGGACAGCTTCAAAGTTGGGAAGTTGGAAGCAATCTGCCAGAATCAAATGGGTGGCCCTGTTGCTTCTCTAGTGATCAATGAACTGTGGCAAAACCCTCCTCCTGCTGACCTGCCTCTTGAACAAGGTATCAACAGAAATTCAAGAGGAATTCTCAGAACAAAGTCTACCTTTGTGGTCCATGTCAAAGGAGCTTTATAAGAGTTGTGATCCTGATAGCTCACACGATAAAAAGGAAAGCGCTCTCCAACCCATACAATGGCTGCAATCTGAGACACTGGGGTGGATAAGGAGGCCAAAGCATTGCTATCCATCCACCTTCCCTTGTCACTTCTTTTTCTTATTTGCTTTCAATTGCTTCTTTCATGACTTGCATCAGGTTGGGCTTTCTTTGCGAGGGGGACAACCTGGGGAGCGAGAGATTTAGGAAGCCTGAGCTGGGGTACGGCAGTTTCTTCAGTGAAGCGTCTGATTCATCCCCAGGGATGAGCGTTTTGCCTCTTCTCTGCCGCGGCTTGGAAGCTGCAGAGGAAGCCTGCCATGCCCGGCGAGGGAGGGGTGGAGAAGAGATGGCAAGAGAAGCCACGTCTCACTCCATGTCTCTCATTCTCCTCCACCCCACCTGCTACCCCTCTCGCTAAAGAGACGGTGCGGAAGGGAAGCAGCCTGGATTCTGTTAGCGTTGGTATGGGGTGGGAGGAGTTGGGCTGCGAGACACGCATCCTACCCGAGACTTGCAGCTCCATCATGTTTCTCGCTGTTTTGTCTAGGGAAGCACCCTGTAAAAAAAATCTCGTGAGTTCAACTTCTCTGGACAAAAGCAATTTACATATGTGTTTATGTAAGTATGCAAACTAAAATATCTGAAGATAAACCTTCTGCAAACATTGGCCTACAAATAGAATGAAGGTAAGAGGTCAGCACACAGAAATAGTTTTCTGTTCTATTCTTTTGGGGCAATTGATGTTTGGTGTCTGCATTAAAACTAAAATAGCATTTGTTGCATTGGTGAAATTTTAATAGCAATTTAGGTATGCGTCCAAGTGGTTAATTATATCTACATTTTGCTAAAATTCTTCTCTGCAGTCAATGGTATTGACTGCAGAGAAGAAAAATAAAGATGATTTGAGAATTGGAGGCTATGATGAACAGTTACAGGAACTGGGTACATCTTCTAGTCTAGTGAAGAGAAGGACTAAGGTGACATGATAGCAGTATTCCAATATTGGCTGATCTGTCACTAGTGATCCTAGATGGGACAACCCTTATAAACTATGCAAAAATTACCATTAGTTCAAAATTCAGAAGCAGGCATATTTTCCAGGTTCTGTCATTGGAAGCACATAGCACCATTTTTGTGAATTCTGCTTGAATCGTCAGTTGATTTTCAGGTATAATTTAAATTGTTCATTCTAACCTATGTGAAGCCATTTATGGCCCGGTACCTGGGATACGCAGGATCATCTACTCCAAGTAGAACTTCCAGAAGTTGCTACCCATTTATAATTTTGCAAAAAGAACACACACATATAAGTGATGCCTTATTCATTGATGCAATTAATTTTTTTAAAATTCAGTTAAATCAGCATCTGTTTTTGTCTTAATCCATTGAATAGTTTTGGGGTGCATTTATAATCCATGCTCTGACGCCACTTGTCCAGTTTGCAACTAAAATACTTCTAGGTCAGAGGTGGTATTCAGCAGGTTCTGACCAGTTTTGGAGAAATTTTGAGTAGTTTGGAGAACCGGTAAATACCACCTCTGACTGGCCCCGCCCCCATCTATTCTCTGCCTCCTAAATTCCAGCTGATCGGGAGGAAATGGGGACTTTGCAGTAACCTTCCCTGCCATGCGCACCAGCCTTACCCACCAAGCCATGTCACACCTGACAAGCCACGCCCACAGAACCAGTAGTAAAATCCCACCACTGCTCTAGGTGACATTGTGTGGTTTGCATTAGGTGTGTGTGTGGGGTGGTGGTGGTCCTGAGTTGTTTTCTGCCCCAAAATAGTTTATGGATAAAAGTCATTTGTCCTTGAAGCTGCTGTTTGCAGGAACAGCAACTGGGCCAAGCCATATTTTTTTTAGCAAGAAACAGAGGGAGAGATTGAATCTTGAGGGTGTCATTCTTATTCCTGTTATTAAATAACAACGTACGTTCATTTTCAAAAAGCTCCCTTTCCCTCTCACAGGCAGGAAAATCTCCAAGGAAAATTATTTTTACCACTGGATGTCACCAAAAGCTTAGACTTCCATGGATTATTTTTTTTACAAACCAGTATTCAAGACAATCAACCCTGACTATTCTTTGAAAGAATAGTGAAGCTGAAAGCCAAATACCTTTCGGCCACTAAATGAGAAGAGAGGCCAGTGGTAGAATTCAAAATTTTTTATTGCCGGTTCTGTGGGCGTGGTGTAGCCTGGTGGGCATGGCTTGGTGGGGGTGGCAGGAGAAGAATATTGTAAAATCCCTATTCCCTCCCACCCCAGTAACCTGCTTTCCAGCTTCATTCTCCTGTGCAGGGCAACAGAAGACCCAGCCAAACAGGGAAAACCCTGGGGAAAGATAGCAGAATAATAAAAATGAATACTCTGAAGAAAAGATACTACAGCCATAAAAACAGGTTGGGGGGGGGAGAGAAGAATTTAGGAAAAAGGGAGAGAAGAAGAAAAATGACTAAAAGTGGAATTCATGAGAGCCCAAGAGAAATTGGATAAAAGAGGAAGAAGGGGGGGGGAGTTGTATTAGTAGATTAAAGGGAATAGTAGTATGATTGGTATTGTTATGCAACTGATTAAGAAATAAAGAAAGTATAATACATTGTTAAGTGTAGAAAAAAATGAAAGAAATGCTCTCTATGTCAAAATATAACTAGAGGAAATATATTGTTTATAGTAAAATAGAACAATAAAGAAATATGAAATGATAATTTGGTACAATTTTTGAAGGGGCGATGGGAAGATATTGTTTGTGTACTAAGAAAAAATGAGTATAAAAATGGAAAATAATGGAAGAAAATAATTTGGCTGAAAGTGAAAACCAAGTTATGATGTAAAATGGATTATGTAATTGAGAGGATGTAAAAGAGAAGATCCGGTCAACACTTTGTTTCTATAATATATATATAAAGCTGTATTAAAAAAATAAATAAATAAAAAACTTTTAAAAAAGAAGAAGATCCAGCCAATCAGCTGGAACTTGGGAGGCAGTGAATAGATGGGGGCGGATCCAGGTGGTATTTGCCAGTTCTCAGAACTATTCAAAATTTCCACTACCCGTTCGCTAGAACTAGTCAGAATTGCCTGAATACTGCCTGAATACCTCCTCTAAGAGACACCTAATGGGAAAAAAGTCAACCCTGATTTTGGGAAGGATTGAAGACAAAATGAGAAGGGGACAACAGAAGATATGATGATAACCTAGTATCATTGATGCAATGAACATGAATTTAGGCAAACTCCAAGAGACAATGGAGGATAGGGGGCCCTGGCATGCTGTGGTCCATGGGATCAAGACGTCTCAGACATGACTTAGTGACTGAACAACAACAACAAAATTCAAGACTAGGACTTTTTCCTAACGATACAGATCCATGCATTTTTCAATTACGAAACCACAATGCCAGTCCATGAAAAGCATTTGATGCCCCAGTATTTCCTGATTATTTAGGAATAAAGAGATTACAGTGGTTGTGGTACTAGAAAAGGGATCTTAAATAGACCTAATTTCATGCACATATAAGAAATGTGAATAATCTAGCCAAACATAATTGGGATTACAGGCATACCCAGAGAAGATACAAATGAAAAAATATTCTTTGCAACACCATAACCATTATCATGGGATGATGTAAGTATGAAAGGACAGAGCTTGGGCTGTAT